ATGCTATGCGATGCTACTTGGAGGACTTCAGTCTACTCTCTTCTACATGCTGCAAGACGGAGGCTGCCAAAAGCGTAGTCTTCGATAGGACTAGCTATCCCCCTCTTATTCTGGCATTCTGCAGTTCAGTCCACTAATATGGCCTCCTTACACATATACCCATGCATATATAGTGTAGCTTCTTGCTTGCGAGTACTTTGGATGAGTACTCACGATTGCTTTGCTTCCTCTTTTCCCCCGTTTTTCTCTTCTTCTCGGATGCCGCAACTAGACGTTGGAGCCCAGGAGCCAGACGCCACCGTTGACGATGACTACTACACTGAAGGTGCCTACTACTACGTGCAGGCCGCTGACGACGACCGGGAGTAGTTTAGGAGGATCCCAGGCAGGAGGCCTGCACCTCTTTTGATCTGTATCCCAGTTTGTGCTAGCCATCTTATAGCAACTTGTTTAACTTATGTCTGTACTCAGATATTGTTGCTTCCACTGACTTGTTTATGTCGAGCACTTGTATTCGAGCCCTCGAGCCCCCTGGCTTGTAATATGATGCTCATATGACTTGTTTTACTTTTAGAGGTGTGTTGTGATATCTTCCCATGAGTCCCTGATCTTGATCTTACACGTTTGCGTGCATGATTAGTGTACGTTTGAATCGGGGGCGTCACACCAGAGCAGGAGGCCGCCCACCTCGAGCGCTGGAAGGCGCACTGGCTCCGCCAGGAGCAGGCCGACGGCGAGCAGCAGATGCGCTACGAGGTCATGCTCCAGCGTGATGCGGAAGCGCTCCGGCTCGAGGAGGACGAGGAGGAGCGCGTGCGGCTAGCCGCAATGCCGCCGCCCTAGCAGACGCCGGAGGAGGTTACCCTGGCAGCGTACCAGGCAGCGTTCGGGTGGGCAGGCCCTGCTCCCGTCTTCATCGACCTCACCGGCGATGGCAACGGCGGCGTCGACGCGAAGGGCAAGGGCAAGGCCAACAACATCTAGGGCAGCGTGCGGGGCAGCAGAAGGCGGGCACAGACTTTTTTTTAATGTTTTAATTAATGTTTAATTATGTTTAAGTGGACTTTGGCTGGCGTTTGACCGGCCACGTATGTTTAATTATGTTTATTTTAAGTTTATTTCATGCGGTCATTTTTTTTGCATGCCGGCACATTTGTGTCTGCCTCCCGTTGGGCGGCCAAGCCGACCCATTTCAGAATGCGGACGCGCACGTCCGCCTGGCCGACCCAAACGGACGAAAAGCGAACAAAAGCGCTGTCCGTTTGGGTCGGCCCATTGGAGTTGCTCTAAGGACCATTGGCCGTGTGCATGCTAATTATGCAAAGGCCGGATCTGTATTCATTGTGTTTGTATCCCCATGACGTTTCATTATGAGTCAATACCATCCTGTGTGTTCGCACACGAACATGTCACCGTGTACCCTCAACGCCGGGGGTGATGCACCGCTGCTCACGTCAAAGGAGACCCGCCGGAAGCGCGGTACGCAGGATAATCCGGTGGGCGCTTTTGTAGACCCGAAACCCCACACGCCCGGGAGGGACCCCGTCAGGGCGCGCGGGCTATGGGCTGCCCTAGGTCGACCTGATCGCCCCTAGGGCCTCGAGGTTCGCCGCCCTGCAATGAAGAAGAACAAGCAAAGAACGAGAAAGAAGAAGAACTAGGGTTAAGGAGAAAAGATAAATGATAAAAAGTGGTATATGATTTGTTCGATTGTGTGTTGTTCAATCGGCCGTCACCCCTTACATATATATGAGGCGGCTGGACTTCCCGTACAAGAAAAGGACTCAAATCACGTCCAAAACATCAAAAAATAACCTAACTCGGACTACGAGGGCCGGGACTTCCGGTCAGCCCGGAACTTCCGGGCTAAAATCACATCAAGTAGCCCTCTTACACAGCCCCTGGAGGTCACATATGGCTTCGGATCGCGATGGTCCAAAAAGCAAAGTTGTAGATCTTGCAATGCAGAAAAATTCCTTAGTTGATCACTTTTTCATCCAAGGTCATCTTGATGTTGAAATCGGCCCCGCAAATCTGCAAATAATGTTAAAATTCCAGTTTCGGGGCGCACGGCGTGCAAACTTTCGGTTTATCCTGGAAGTTTTGCCCGGAACTTCCAGCGCAGACTTATGCAGCACATCGTTTTGACTCTAACTTTTGCATACGAGCTTTGATTTAGACGTTTCTTATATCAAAATCGATCGTTTCGACGAGACGAAGACAATCCGTATAGAAACTTTTCACATATGAGGCCATCTTGGGGGCATAATCAGCCGAATAGTGTTTTGAATGCAAAATCTCAGTACTTCAAACACAACTTCGGCCTTAGAGATTAGATCGGATGGCTACGGCCCAAATATCAAAGTTTCTTTTTTTGATGATACGGAACTTTCTCACTTTGAGCACTTTTCCATTTGAAACCTTCTTAATTACGTTTTTGACCATGCCAAAATCTAATGTCAACACTGTGTTAAGAAAAAACAAGGTCTGTAAAATGTATGTCCAGTAGATTGTTGTGATAACTGTTTGGTTTCTGAGCTCCTTACCGTTGCTGGTTACTGAAGCTATCTTGAGCCCATCAGCAGTTCGAAGCCAAGGATGGCCGGATCTCCCGTGAAAATAAGCACTAATTATGTGTATAGGTGCTTGCAAACACGAAATGCCACCCAAGTTTTGAATTTTGAATCAGGCACTCCCTCATTTTCAAAATACGTTTCACGAACTAAGTTTACAGTGAGAAAATATGAACATCCACAATACTAGATAAATACAACATGGACATATATTTGTCGGCACTGACTAAGTGTAGGTTGATTGTTTTTTTTTCTTTTGGTGCAAATCATTTTTTCTTTGGTCATCGGAGCACCATCTAGTGGCCAGGACTGCATCGTCATTGCTCATTTTCTTTCTTTTGCGTCGCCTTCTAACACAATGCCGCCCTCCCCTCAACCTTTCCCCATCGCCATGTTTGCCGCCACCCAAAGTCATCCCTCTAACACCCCCTTCCCTCCCCGACCTCCTGTTCAGGCACCCGCAATCCCACTGACGCACATGTCAACCTGCCTTCTCGCCTCCACCGGCAACGTTGTAGCTCGCTATCGCTCTCAGCGTTGTCCCCGTCTCCGACGAGTTCTTGGCTCGTCCTCGCCATCGAAGTTGCACCTCGCTGCCGCTTGAAGCACTGTCATGCATGCAAAATTGCACCTCGTCCTTGCCATCGAAGTTGCACCTCGTCCTCGAGCTCCACCACAGTCACCTTCTTCCAGCATGCGAAATTGACTTATACCCGATGTTTTTTCTGGTGGCTTGCATATAGCTCGTGTGCGATATTTTTCATGGTAGGAATTATTTCTCGATCTGAATTTTCTGCGTATGTAGTAGTATATGCTCACAAAAATAGGATGTGGAGTTTCTGCCCCCTAAGCTCAATTGGACCTTCGTGAACCATCAAACATTGTTGAATTTTCACATACGTGTAAATTTTCGTGACGAGAAAACATTCCTCATGCTTTGGGCAAAAGGAAAAAAATGATGCCCAAAAGATTATTTTTTTTAAAAGCATTTTGGAATGTTTGACTTTTCTCGGAGTTTCAGATCTCATGAAGAAAACTAAACAATGTTTCTTAAAAAAAGTCAGAAATATTTATTTTTTCTATTTAATGTTATCTTACTGTTCACAAAAGGAGCATTTGAGCTCTTGGCACAAAAATGACTTTTCCGGCTCAACAATTCCATCGATTTTTAAATATTTTTAATCCGGCTGGGTTTCACCTCCCAAGTGAAGTGAGCGCGGTGCATCGATGCACGCTCCGCCGCTCAGCAGCCGCCTCGCCTCGCCTTCGTCCCGTCTGCCGGCGGCCGGAATCCAATGGCGCCGTGCCGCCTTCTTCCTCCAACTCCTGCCACTTCCACCACCCATCCCCGCCGCCCCCACCGGCGCGCGGCGGATAGCGAGGGCCGCTGCCCTCCGCGCTCCTCCTCTCGGCGCCTAGGGTATGCAGGGCTGCGGAGCGCCGCCGCCTCTCCGTCCATCCATTACTCCCGTCGGAGAAAACCCTATGTCCTCGTCGTTATTCCTCCCCTCCGTAGTGCTCGACCCGTCTCCTGCGCACAGCCTCCGCAGTCAGTTCCGTTCGTGGTGAGATTTCGCGGGCGTCTCTAATTGGGGAAATGGGAGAAAGCATACAGAGGTCAAAGCCTCAGGTCCAATGCTGGCCTTTTATGTTCTCATGACCAATTATTTCTGTAAATTTTGCTAGATTTCTTAAAATTAACATCTGCGTTGTGGAATTTTCATCTTATATATGTTGTGTCTGGTCCCATGTAATCTATCTGAATTCTGAACATATGCATGTAGATTCAGCAAGGGAGCGTAGAGAAGGCGCCCAACATGTCCAGGATATCTAGTCTAGGATCCTTGGATGGAGTTCCTCTGGCTCCAGCAATGGCACGAAAAGAAAATCATCCCTCTGTTTCTTTCCCTTTTACATTTTTATATAAGGAGAAGTTTTTCTGGCAGTTGAGGTGGAGAAGAGACTGGCCATACAAGTGAGTGAGAGATGATCATCCATGCCATGTCGAAACTTGTCCATCGTCTGGGAGGCCCCTATTTTTAGAAGCCTTTCGCCTTGTCTTCTGCCTCCTCCTTTGCCTCCTCTCCACAGTCTGATTTAGAGACCTTGCATGCATGCCTTGCTTGCCTCCTATCCACAATTTAGTTCCTCTAGTTTTGTGGGTGCTAGATCCCTTTCCCCAAACCCACTCCGTCGTGCTAGCACATTTGAAGCCTGAATTTCCCCACAAGGTCTGGTGAGATGCTGTCATCCTTTCCCTTAATTCTGCAACTGTTTTGCTTGCGCCTCTGTGATTATTTTCTGAATTGATTCATGAAGAGACACAGATTTGTCTATCTTGCATCTGTTGTGAACGCATGGTACTTACGTATGTTGCATCTGTTGTGAAATTTGTGTGATGCAGCAAGGTGCTCGTCTCTAACCTGAATGGGAGCAAGATATCCTCTCGTTTTCTTGATCCTCTTACTTCTTCATGGAACCAAGGCTGCTTCGGATCCTCCAGTACCGGGATGGCTGACTCTGAGTGGTAAGCATCTGGCCCATTGCTGAGTTATGAATTGGGATTTTTTTTTGTTTAGCATGCGACAAAGGAAAAGCGCGTATTTTGTATAGAAGAATGTGAGCTAGAAAGTATGTTCTTTCAGCCTACATTATGGTTTGTCTGCCTTGCTGCTAATCTTTCTAGTACTGTCCTACAGGTCATCGTCCTCTAGTCATTGCTCGTGGGGGGTTGTCTGGAGTAGTGCCTGAGTCAAGCCAGCTTGCATACAGCATGGCAATGGGAAGTAGCTTGTGTGAGGTGGTTCTGTTCTGCGACCTGCAATTCTCCAGCGACGGTGTGGGCTTCTGCCATGGCAGCTTGAGACTTGACAATTCGTCAAATATTGCTGAGAAGTTCGCTGACAGGGGCTCAACTTATCAAGTGAATGGACGAGAGGTTCAAGGATGGTTTTCTCTGGATTTCAAATCAGAGGAGCTACATAGTGTCCTATGTAAGCAGAAAAAATAATCTTGGTTATCTTGAAAATCGTAACCGTAAAATCAAAGTACTTTATCCATGCTCCATGATGAAGTTAGCAATTGCAAACGTGGTAAAATCACATATATTTTTCCATATTTGGAGTGAATAAGGTTCAAATGGATCCTTGAAAGTTTTTTCTTCCAAATGGTTGATCCTTTGAAGTCATTTCTGATTTTCCATTTAGGTTCTGTTTTTAGTTCTTCTCTTTTTTTCCTGTTGCAAAGTATTGACTTGTCACGTGGTTTGATTATCCCTCAGTGCTTCAGAATGTTTTGTCTCGCTCAAGTACATTTGACAGAACACAGGAACTGTTGTCGCTTGACAATGTGGTTCAAAGCGTCTTGGCTCAAAAAGGCGAGCTTCATGTAATTTGGGTCAACATAGAGGTAGATGTGGTTTCACTAACATTCAAAGATTCACCAAGGATCTCTTTGTACTGCACCATGTTCTCTATCTAATAGAAGTTCATATTTTCTTTAGTACAACTCGTTTTTTCTGGAGCACGGATTAAGTGCCGAAGATTACATATTGGGACTACCAAAAGAATTTCCTGTCACTCGCGTCTCCTCACCAGAATTTGCATTCTTAAAAAGTCTCAGTGGGAAGGTCAGAAGCAATATAAAGTTGATTTTCCGGTTTCTCCGTGAAGACCTTGTTGAGCCTACGACAAAGAGAACATATGGAGAACTTCTGAAAGACCTGAAATCTATCAAGGCCTTTGCATCGGGGATTCTTGTTCCCAAGCAATTTATTTGGCCACAGAATAAGGATATGTACTTGGAGCCGTCTACCAGTTTGGTCAAAGATGCACATGCCCTAGGGCTGGAAGTGTACGCATCTGGATTTGCCAATGATGATCCATGTATGAGTTACAACTACAGCTATGATCCCAGCGCGGAAATCTTGCAGTACATAGACAATTCAGACTTCTCGGTCGACGGCGTTTTAACAGACAATCCACCTACCGCATCAGGAGCCATAGGTAAGAACGAAGAAACATGTGTGCCATGCTGGAAGAAGCTATAACTGAAATGGATGTTGATGAAAATTTTGAAATGTTACTTTATATACATGATAGGAACGTACCCGTACAATTTAGCTCTTCATTTTTGATTCCTTGACAACATCTTCATGAGGATCCTTTAATTGCAGTGTGCATGGCACATACCAAGGGCAATGCATTTGTTTTTCCTATTGCTAAAGCTGGAGCTCCTACAGGTAAGCTGGCAATCTTCTCCTGATCCATGGTGTTGCTTTGCTAACTTATCATCATCTTGTAACACAATATACTGATCCCTCCACTCAAGCAGTAGTAGGAGAAAACACCAGGCCACTGATCATAACCCACAATGGTGCGAGTGGCGTCTTCTCAGACAGCACGGACCTTGCCTACCAACAAGCGGTGAAAGATGGCGCGGACATAATAGATTGCTGGGTCCGGATGTCGAAAGACGGAGTCGCCTTCTGCCTGGGCTCTACAGATCTCAACAGCAGCACGACAGCAGCCACAACTTTCTTGGGAAAAATGACCACTGTCAATGAGATACAGAACAAGTCGGGCATTTTCTCGTTCGATCTCTTATGGAGTGAGATCCAAACCTTAAAACGTGCGAAGCAAGACATACTCCTTATTTTGTTCTGCCAAAGATTTGCATACACTAACATTGATGTCACATGTTTTTTGTTCACCGGAGCAGCCAATCTTGTCGGTCCATTCGCAGACGCACGCCTGGAGAGAAATCCTGCGGCGAAGAACGCTGGCAAATTTATGACACTGGCTGAGTTCCTTGATTTTGCAAAAGCCAGCAACATCACTGGTATACTGATCGGCATAGAGGTAGACAGCATATATAGCATCAAACTTTTGACATGATTCATTTGCTCGCTCCTGTTACCTATGTTGTTATTCTGTCCAACTGATCAAGAGAGGTCTTGTACCTACCGAGTGCAGCATGCTACGTACCTTATAACCAGAAGCCTTGACGTGGTGGATGCGGTCTCCAAAGCGCTTGTCAAGTCCGGGTACGACAAGGAGACCTGTAAGCAGCGCGTGCTCATACAGTCAGAGGACGCCCCGGTGCTTGCGGTGTTCAAGACGTTCCCCAAGTTCCAGCGGGTGCTGACGATCGAGTTCGACATAAGCGACGCCTCCAAGCCTTCGGTGGATGAGATATCAGAGTTTGCAAACGCGGTGAAGCTCAGGCGCAGCTCTGCCGTGCGGGTCAACGGCTTCTTCCTGGAGGGGTTCACCAATTCCTTGGTCGACAGGCTGCATGCCGGCAATCTGCATGTGTATGTCGGCGTCCTCAAGAATGAGTTCATGAACCTCGCGTTCGACTACTGGGCCGACCCCTTGGTGGAGATCGCCACGGACACGATGTCGGTAGGCGCCGATGGGATCGTGACCGAGTTCCCTGCCACTGCAGCTGCATACTTCAGTAAGTAGTAGTATCTGCTTTGCTTGATGGACACCATGGACGCTTGGTTAAATCTTCTCTTCCTGACGCACAATGAAATATATAATCTGACTGATCTCTTTGGTGGATGGATTTCAGGGAGCCCATGCTCCAACTACGAAAACAAGAACCTTCCCTACACGATCAGCCCCGCCGAACCCGGCGGCTTGCTCCAGCTGGCTAACAGTGGCTCGGTACCTCCGGCGCCCCCTCCGGCGCCGGTGCTCGAGCCCCAGGACATCCTGCAACAGCAGCTGCCGTTGTGCCCCAACGACCCCATGTTCCGGACCTTCCGCTGCCGCCTGGCGCCCAAGGAGACGGCGACGGGGAAACCTGAGTACAACATCAATATGGCTAGCCTAGATGACTAGGTTTCTTTCTTGTGGTGGAACCAGCCCATCCAGGTTCAAGTCCTAAACTTGACATGGGTGCTCTCATAGAAGGTGTGTGCACGTGTTGTGAGCGTCTGCGTCTGCATTGTGTTTCTAAAAAAAAAATCCCCACCCCACTCTTTGCGAGATTCGCTAAGTTCATTGTGCTTGTGCATTACATACTGGAATGCGTTAGTTACCTAGTTACGTGGCACTAGAACAACATTTGTGTACTGAGTATTCGGACAAAGTTTGATTTTAAAGTGAGCAACTTTGTTTTTATAATGCAAGGTAGGCGTTCTGCTGATGCCGATTTCATATAGATAGATGGAGAAAATGCAAATTAAATGCCGGTTTCATATAAGATAGATGGAGAAAACACAAATACTCCCTCTGTCCCGATTTAACTGACGCCATTTGTATACAAAATTTGTACTAGCTTAGCTCTTCCTCTGCGTCACTCAATTCGGGACGGAGGGAGTAAATACCAAGTGGACCGATTTTTATGAGGAAAACTAAGGCAAAAACCAAAGAAGGAGAAAGAGAAACATCTACCTAGATCACCACCAACATGATCGCTGACCGGGGAGTGGTGAGCAAAATCTTTCGAAAACGCCTTCAAGGAGGAAGATGGCATCAGCAAACGTTATCATCGTCGACATTGACCCTGTCGAAGACCAATTTTCCGCCAAAAGCTACACACAACTATCCTGCCAAACCTTGAGGAAGAGTCTGGCCACACAAAAAAGCCGCCATGACATACTCAGCTCCGAGCAGACACAACCCAATAGAGAGGAACCACTGGCAGTAAAGAATGACATCCAGCCAGTATGACTCCTTGGGACACTTGAAGGAGGAGCACCAGAAGTAGAGGGACCAGAAGATGAAGCTTCAACAGCAAATCTTGGGGCAGTGAAAGGCCTTGGAACACTTGCACTAGCTGACCTTCTTGCAGATCTTGCAGAAGCAGACCTTGCAGTAGCTGACCTTGCTGGTGGCTGCTGTGATCTTGCTGGTGGCTGTTGTGATCTCGATGGTGGCTGTTGTGATCTTGCTGGTGGAGTATCTTCATTCATTGATCTTGCAGGTGGAGTAGCTTCATTTCTTGATCTGGCAGGTGCCTTGCAAACATACAAGGAAACATGGTAGTTAGTCACAAGGGTTTAGCACATAAGACATACAAGGAAACCAAACCAATTAACAAGTTACATTAACAAACATTACTAGGGAAAACCCTAGCAGTAGCGCTGGTTTTGTGCTCACTAGTAGCGCAGGTAGGCGCGCTACTAATAAGGCGCTACAACTATTGCTTAGCAGTAACGCGTGCCGGCGCGCGCTACTGCTAGGACAACTAGCTGCAGCGTTTGTTCAACCCCACGCTACTGCTAATGAAACTAGTGGCAGCGCGTTTTCTCTCAATTTCTACTAGTATTCATTTTTTATTTTTTTTATTTTTAGTGTATTTATGCGGCTTTCTCTCCATCGTACAAAATATTGGTACAATACCAGTTATGAGGTTTACATCATTATGTCCATAACAGTGTGTCAAATGAAGGTGGATTAGGTTCAAGTGGAGGCAATATGTGGTGCATGTCAAAAGTATACTACTAATCCAAACTTGATCTAGTTTGGACTAGTAGTACTTTCGATGTGCACCACATGTTGCCTCCACTTGAATCTAATCCGCCGGCACAAGCTATTTAATCATCATCATAGTCATTATCATCAACAATATTTATTTAATCACCACTAACACTAGCTAATAATAATCATCATAGTCATTACCACCAACACTAGCTATTTTATCATCATAGTAATAGGTAGCACATCATCATCTTCAAACTCATTTCTAGCTAGCTAATCACTCCTGCTGCTCTCTCGCAGGTAAAATAACATAAAACATGTATAGCTCTCCTCCTTAATCAAGTTGGAGCATGCAGATGAACCTGTCTCCTAATCGTGGATAGCACATATGTTTGCTGCCCCCTAGTACTTCTCTGCGCTCCCCCATCACATATTTGGTCCAGTCTTGCACTACATCTGTCGCTAATCTTGAATGCACTAAAGTAATCTGTAGGATATCTTGGTCGTAAGCTAATAATACTCATGGTACCTTTAGTCTCGATCCCATAAGGCACAACATTCATCGGGACTCCCTGTTGAAGAACATCGTATGGTAACATACTTAGCAATGAAGTTTAGCTTCAAAAATAATGTATGGAAAAGATGCACTGAGGACAAATATTAAAAATCTTACCATCATTCCTAAATAAATGTGACCGTAGTTCAGTACGAACACTATTGGTCGCACGTTTTCAGTACTAACATTTCTAAATGCAGGAATAAAATGTGTCCAATACAAAAACTCTTGCATGGCAGGGGATACACTAGTAGAATAGTAAAAACAAATTATAAGTTGAAACAAATGAAGCATATGTTATGCTTAATTACGAAAAAAGAGGCTCGGTTCCTTTCACACAGGACACATGTTGAGACGCTTCTGGACTGGCTTTTTGCCGCTCTAGCCTTCTCTCCTTTTCCTCTCCTCTCCTTTCCTCCTCTTTCTCCGCCCAAATCTTCTCCCTATCTCTGATCTCCTTCTATTTTCCAGCCTCTTTTTCCTTCCTAGATCCCTTTCTCCTTCTCTGCTCTAAGTCGCACTATCCAGTCAGTAATGGAGGGTCAGGATGCTGGTGTTGAGGGTGCGCCTGTGCGGCCGTAGGCGGATAAGCCAAGAGCAGGTCGACCTAATCTCCTAGCACCAGATCCGGTGCGTTCTCAGGCGGATAGACCGGGGGGAAGTGGAGCTATTTAGGGGGCTCATCTCCCCTCTCGCTCGATAGCGCCAGATCCTGGGATTGAGCTCACCATGCAAGCGCTCTCAATCAGTGAGCCGGAAATTGTTCATGTTCAAGCTGAGAACCAGGCACATGAGGAAGGACAGGATGCAGAGTTCAATATATTGATGAAACTTGCTTCTACTGGAGGTCCAATCAGAGTTCTTTCTCTTCAGGCTGTGCAATAATCTATGGCTAGAGCATGGAGGGATAATTATTACGGCATATCTCAATTATCAAGGTATGTTTTTGTGGCGCACTTCCGCTCTTTGGAAGCTGTTATGTTTGTGATTACTCGTCAGCCTTGGAGCATGGGTTCAGATAACTTTCTGATTGAATGGATGGATCCAGAGGAGCAAGATAATAATATTCGGGACTACAAGTTTGATTCAATTTATGTCACTGTTTGGATTTATGGTATCCCCATCAGGTTTAGAACCCAAGCACTGTTAGCAAGCATCCTGCAAAAAGTGGGGCAGATTTCAGAGTTTCATCCGATTAACAAGAGTATGATTTCGGCTAGGCAGGAATACATTTGGGGTACTATTAAAGCTCAGATCAGTAGACCTGTGAAAGATAAAGTTTGGGTTACTTATGGAGAAGACTCTGCTGGTTGGGCCTATTTGTTCTACGAGAAGATTGGCAGAATCTGTACTTTTTGTGGAATTATGTTTCATAGTGTCCAGCATTGCAAAGCTAGAAATAGTGTCCTTATTTCAAGGAGTAGGCTTCAAGTCTCTTTGGAGGGTATCTCCCCAAATAAATTTGGCCAATGGATGACTGCTGCAGATTTGATTCCTTCTCTTTCAGAACAACATAATCTGTGTGAAGCAAATTCATTCTCATCTTTTGTAAATCCTCAGTTAGCCAGATTGCAGAAGCAGTTCATAGAACACCCTAAGGGCAAGGAGATAGCTGTGCATAGCGCGGCTACGGAGGAAGCTAATCAAAAATAATTATCTCTTACTAAGATTAATGAGCAAATTAGAAGGATGGAAGAAGGTGGTTCATCTACAAATGCAGAACTACAGATATTGCAGAATCAGATGGGAGGTATGGCTACGAGGTGTAGCTATAGTCAGGGTCGGTGCCCGGGTCAGAGCGACGCTGTTAAGATTTCAGCGGTGCCACCAACTGTAGTTAATATGGAGACGGCCTCTGTTCCGGGCAATAACGCAGGAGAAGTTCAAATTCAAGGCTTGCACACTCCAGTACAGCAGGGTGCTGTTATTCCTAATCCATCAGAAATCTCCATTTTGTGCGCTCTGCCTGTAACTCACATCTCACATACTGGCCCCTCATCTGCTATTTAGGCTACTATGGAAGACTATAATCCCTGTGGGAAAGTTCCTGCTAATCCATCCCTCTTCCCAGGTGTTGTGCCTTCCTCGCCTCCGCCTCTTCTCCCTGTCCCCTCTCCACTCAGATCCAGTCCCAAGAGGCTGCTAGAGTCGCTGTTTGGGCTTCCGGTTCCGCCAGCGAAGAAGGCCAGCATCCATGGAGGTCGTGGGAGGGCAGAAGATCAGTCTGATTCGGTGCTCGGAGCTCCGCCTGTTAGGCAAGTTCTCTCTCCACAGCCATCTGCAACTAGTGGTATGGGAGCCTTCACAGTGCCTGTTAGTCCAGGGAGAGGAAGGACTTTGGACGGTTCTTCGCCTTTTGGATCCGCAACATCTCAGGGTGGCTACCATCGATATCGCTATAGCAGATGGGATATTCCTCCGGCCAGGGGATATGGAGGTTTGCGTTCCAATATGCATGGGGTTATGCACAATCGCGCTTGTTCCTCCACTTGGAAGCGTGAAAATGGAGCCGATCAAATGGATTGCAGCAATATTATGTGCACACGTAGGGGTCAGGATCTGGAGAACACGGATTTGGATGCCACCACTGCGTCGGGCCGATCTACTATGGTTTCCGGCAATAAGGAAGGAGGAAGCTATGATCCGCGGTCCTTGCACATGCCTCTGCTGTCTGTTAGTTTCTCTCCTTCTGGCACTGATCATATCCACCATTTGGGTTTGCATGTTGATACGGGCGAGCATGGCCCCAGAGCTCAAATCGCAGTGGAAAAACAAGATGACTTTAGTTCCTCTGGCCAAGGCGATACATTGGATCTCTGGAATGATCAAGTTGGAGAAAACATGGAATTGAATGTTGGTA